ATTCCCATTATAAAGTAACATTTTTGAAAGTTTATGTCTGTATTGTGTAAATGATTATCGGCGTCCGAAATTATTGGAAATACTATGTTTTACTTAAATATTGGTTGTATCATTTTCCAATAAACATAATGTAATGTTATGTTATGTTATGTTATAAACAACATATCTTACTTTGACTTCTACTTTCTGTTTTTAAAATAACTAGATTTTTTTTTACAAAATCAGCATATTTGCAAATTTCTTAATAGTTTTTTTTTTCCATTTTTTGCCAAATCTCATCCTTTTATAGCAGAATGTTAGAAATATTTAAAACAAACTAAAGATAGCAGTTCAGCAACTAACATTCCTGTTAGAGCAAAAACAGAAGAAAGCAATGATCTACAAAATATAGTGCATTTTATCAGAACTGTTTTTATTAATACCTGGTTAAGAGCAATTAATCTTACCTTGTAGTCCTTCCTTCTTCCAATCACTCAGAATACTTCATAGTCATGTTGTTACATCTATGTTCCATGCAAATCATTATTAGCGTATTCGAAAGTCTTTGATTATAAACAAATTTCTTTTTGGAAAAGAAATATATACATATAAATATAAACAAACTTATTTTTGGAAAAAAAATATATAAACACATTTGAACTGACCTATGCAAACCTTAGCTTTGAAATCTAAGTGCATAAAGTCTCCTCGTAATAAATGTTATATTTTTTTAGAAAATCATTTTAATATAACTTTCATTTTTTAGCTCATTTGATACTTCATAACACTGAAATCTTGACAAATTGTCAAATAAAAAGTATCTTATTGAACAGGTAAAATATATGCCTATTGTTCTTCTAAAATTTGCGTACATTTTCTAATCATGTCCTTAAAAAGACCCAGTCTGGTTAAATAGAGAAAGATTTGTACTTTCTTGTGATCATTGCATTTTATAGATGAGTGGAAATAAAACTATATATATAGTAAGCTAACTCCGCCTCTTTAATGCATTTAATATCAGTATGTTAACCAAAAACAATTCACCGAGCAAAACTAAAATTGCCACAAATTCATTAAACTAAAGTTGATACTTCATTGAATATATAAAAACAATAAAGTTAGTGTTTATTGCGATTTTATTCCATTCAAAGTAGTTTCTTATCAATTAAAGGGGTTGTTAATTGAAAATAAAACTATATTCATGAATATTATATTGGAGTTTTTCTTAATCATTCAAATACCTCTACCGAAACGTAATAAAACTGATATAACAATAATAGTAAAGAGCATTGTTCTAAAGCAAATTATCAGTTTTATTTATTATTTTGGACGTACTCTTTGTCACATAATTGTTCTAAAATTAAAGATGTCGTCAATTTTCTTTTTCTAGATGAAAAGTCAAGATTATGATAACACGCCATGAAATGTTAATAAGTTATTTCAAAGTAAATAAACTTGTATTTATATCCTTCAGTTTTCAATTAGTAGAAAATGATATGAATTGAAGTAATCGAATTTCTATTCAACTTTGAAAAAATATAGGTAAAAAACGGTCATACAAAATAAGTTTTACCTATATAAATCATGTATAAATTTGTAACAGGTTTCTTTACATTGATCTATTTTATGTAAATAATGATAAATTGTTCATTTGCCTCGTTTTCATTTCAAGTGTCCAAGAAGCCAATTTAAAATCAATATCTCACCCAATTTAGCCACCTTTTTATTTCCAGAGTTGACACAAAGTAGCATCTAACAAGTATATAAGCGTGGATGTTCAATGTTACGATAGAAAAATGTTTATATGAATTTCAAACTGTTTAATTGGAATCACAAGAATAAAGAGTTATGATGTTACATTCCATTCAACTAGCTTATAATTTAAATTTACCTATACAGCCATAGGATTTTGATTTTTTACATGTACTAAACACCATGTGACAGTAAAGCGCATTGTGGATGAACCCGGCATACAGTCATGTATTTTCTCAGATGCCCTAGTATTACCTCTGTATCGACATATAATTGCGCAGGTTTGACAGTTTAATACAATTGCCAAATAATAATCACCTACTACCTCTCTGGACATGAATCTTACGCCATCTTGAACATCTGATAATGTCATATGTTGCGCTTCAGATCGGAATATCCGTCCCGAGGGGTCCCGGCCATTGACGGAATCCCGAGGGACGGATATTCCAATCCGAACGTCAAACAAATGGCAGATATGTTTTCTTGCATATTCTACCATATGCCAATATACATGTATTTAAATTTTCCATGGAAATTTATATCATTACATCCGTAACTATTTTCTTACAACAACATTCGAAATTACAACTTTATTCATAACGGTAAAATTACGTCATCTTAAGCATGCCGTTGCATAGCAAGTGACTCATCCTAATGTTAGATTAAATTTCTGGCATGGGTAAAACTTAGGAAACACCAGATAGATTTCTCGACTGTGACATTCGAAACTTCCCTCAAGCAATATATGGGCATATACACAATGGGTGGATGGACGGTGCTCTTTTTGTTGAATTCCTTAAATCTTTTAATGTTAATTTGTTAATGTTCAGATTATTGTTCCCAAGCTCATATCCTACAACCTAGTGACGTAAAGTCAATTTGGAAAAAAAGACTGGTATTTTGATCATGAACTGTTATCAATACTTTCAATACAAGTACAAATGTTGCTGCAATGCAGCAATTGAGAAGCTCTGCGCAAAAGAAATGCGCTCATTACAGATACCTTACCAAATCATTCCTAAGCATATTCTTAAGCACAGGTCATTTTCTACTTAGATAACTATTGTACTTTTTTCCGGATGTTTTAAATCATTTAATTTTGCATAATTATACTTATCGTATGCACTGTCCATGAGAGAGGAGCCTGACATTAAACAAAAAGATATGCTTTTACTGAAGCCTACCTGGTAAAAAAAGTAATTCCGATACAAACAAGACTTACAAGACTTGTAATGTGACATGACAATAGTGCAACTTTGTTCTGTATGTGTCACTAGTCAATAATAAAAGATCAAAGTATGTATATTTTCTTTTTTTCACATATAATGTTACTCATTTTCTACAATGTAAACAACTAATCACGATAAGTCATATAAAAATCCATGTGTAAATAAGTCAAAATGAAAACTTTCATCGACTTTATTTTTCAAATTGTCCGTTACATGTTACGCGGCAAATGGTATCATGATATAATAAAGGGAGACAAATCGAATACACTCATATGGTGAAGGGATACTAAGCATTAGTTTTCCATACATGAGATCACATCTAGATGTACTTGATCTGTAATAAAAGTCTCTGATCAGAATAATTATTTTTAAATTCCATTTTGCCTGACTATTTATTTTTAAAATATCTTTTCAAAAACAGTTTCAAACTCAAAGCTAAAACTACTTCTATAAATAGATTTTCAGATTTTCAAAGTATTAATGCCATTAATTCATAGCTTTCATATTCATGTAACCAGTCTTGCGTAGAAATAAAATACATACATATCCCACTGCCTACTACAAAAGAATTAGTAATGCCCTGTAGAAGATACAAATATAATAACTAAATTACCGAATTTAAGTTCATTTTGTATTTTATCTTTTATACTGCCTTCTCAGCGGTTGAGGTGTGAAATTTGTTCCCGTTTTCATTCATTAATATGACATTCTGCGAATCTACGAAGGAGAAACCAATAATTGACTACATAATAGAAAATGGAAGGAAGTTTTGGTTCCGAATTTATTTTTAGCATCGGACCAATGGACAAAAGAAATTGACTTTGTAAAAAATCAAGTAAGGTGGTAAAAACTATTGTCCTCCTGGTTTGATTACAGATAAAAATCGGAAACTCGAAGTTGCCTCGAAAGTAAATAGTAATGATCCTCTTCAAGATTTCAATTAGCTGCTGAAATGCAAAAGTGTTATCGATAGGTATAGCACTTCATTCTGGCGTACATAGTATGTTATGTTATATCGATATAAATATTTTCCTTCAATGAAACATTTAGCAAATTTTGGCAGGAATATGCTTTGCATAAAAACCCAATGTACGAGTTAGTTGGTATGTGCTATCACCATCTTTATCTGTTCCATTTTTAATATCAGTTTACCTTGATAAACGCGAATTGTGTTCTTAAACATGTATTTCATTTATTAAAACAAGATTTGATTTTACATAGAGGATATTTGTTTGTTTAGCATGTAAGATTGAAATATAATTTCACTGAGTGAACACCAGATGCAATATTTTCACGAGTGGCGTAGCCACGAGTGAAAATATAAAAGCTGGTGTTCACGAATGAACTATATTTCAATCTTAAATGTAAAACAAATAAATTTTCTTTTTATTTCATGCTTTTTAAGTGATTTTAAGTATTTTTTTACTGATTTTGCAGCGTAACGTCGCACATTCTCCTTTGTGACGTCATCACATCATGACGTCACATCATCAATTTTGAAATATAGTTCTGTTAAATTTCTCTAATTTTGTTACAGTTTAAAAATGATGTATGGTGACATCGACTTTCTTTTCCTAAGGAAGCAAAATTTACGTATGACGGCATTTATTTCTGCCTGTTATCCCATTTAGTTATGATTTTCTTTCCATCCGCATTCAGATATAGTCCGGCTACAGTGAAAATTATATTTTATAAATTTCACTAGTGGTAGTTATCTGAATATAATCATCTGATATAATACAATAAAACACTCGAAAGCATGAAATAATATGTATGCATTGGTAAATGCAACTATGTACCTAAATTATGAAAATCTCGACACTTAGGTAAAAACTGACAATGCATCTTCAAAGCTAAATTTCCTTAACTTATTATCTTTGTATGTTTTACGAAGGCGTTTTTAACAAGGGGAGCAATAAAGGACTATTGATAGGTATTCCATGCTTTTGAATTGTATTGATGTGTAACAGTTATAATTAGAAAAGATAACATCTGATGTTTTATTTAAAGAGATAAAAAGGTTAGATCACTCTTAAATATTTTACTTTTTAGATCAGTCTGTTAGGTAAATTTGTTGTATCATACCAGTTAAAGTTCGGTATTTGTGAAATATAAATAGGATTTAATTACTTAAGGTGATATATATTGAAATTCAGAATTAATTGTTATTATAGCTACATGTATTAACTCTTAATCTTTAAACTGTCAAATGTTGCTTATTTAATCATTTTTAAAAGTTTATCAACTCCATTAACAAACTCGGCGTTAATTACCTGAGAGTTCTCTTATTCGTTAGAATAAAATAGTCTTAGATTTATCTTTCCGGATTTATTTCAACACATTTTTCATATATATATATGAGACAAACTTTCGATTTTTTTTCTTTTGGTAAAATGGTATGTCTGTATCATTGTGAATTTTTACAATCATCACGTACTTGCCATGTGTGACATAAGCATGTTTAATAATAAACATGATGAACAAGCACTATTTATAGGTCAAATTTGATAATAAAAATCTATTTATAAAGATTAAACATGACGGAGATACCAACATTTAATAAGCTTGTTGGTTTTTTTAAATATCTATTGGGGTTTATTTCCTATATATGCAGCTTTTGTCAAGATAAAAATGACATAATTTTGTAAATAAGCAATACCACATAAGCGTGTACAATAACTTAAATGGTATTTTTCTTTTAATAACAACAAAATAAATTAATGTTCCGAGGGGCTTATTAACAACCATACCAGTGATGTGGTGTGTATTACTTGAAGGAAATTAATTAAAAGAAAAATACCATATTAATGAGTCACTCTTTAACTTAAATTTATAGGTAACGACTCACTTGTATACATAAAAGGTCTGCGCAGGCAAGTTAGTTGACACAAGTGTTTACGACTGAAAAAAGTCAATAAACATCACTCGGAATGCCTTTCCAGCTCTGGCAAATCTTTATTGTAAGTATTTGGAATTTTTTTCAAACCTTTTTTTGTCACTTCTATGATTCGTGTTGCTGTGAGTAGGTTTCCACAATTCAATAATACGTCTGGCGTTATCAATTATATGTTAATAGATATGTTCATATGAAAATGTATTGATTTAAGCTAATGAATACTGTTATTTCATTTTAAAAGATATTCATCAAAATCCGTAAGAACAGTGCAATCTTAAATGTACAAAATGACCCCCTAATAAATTGGGCATATCTTGTTAAAAGTATCTGATGTTTGGAATTGTTCAAAAAGATTTTCGGTAAATACATTTATACGAGTTATAGTAACGAGTCTTAAACAAAGGTAGTCTGCTAATAAAGCTTTTAAAAATATGTTTAATACTTTATATGCATATTTAAAAGAAGCTGTGGTATGAAACATTATCTGAATTTGCTATCTTGTTAATCTTCAAGAATATGTCTCATGAAATTACGCACTTCTGTCCATAAGTTAAGAAGTTAATCTGCCAGGTATGGCTGAAATAGTTTGGAAAGACAGGAACGTCTCTACCAATCATGTGATATCAACGAAATTGAAGACGAATCTTATTTTGTTCTTTGATAACAAAGAAATAAATAGATCAAACATTATTATTATGTCATACAAGTATGTATAATTGTTTAGAATTGTTACATTGTTACAACAATAAATGCGTTCTAATCAATCTGACATAAAATTTAGAAACGATATATTGCAAATAATTTGAATCAATGTTTGCAATACAAAAGTTAACAGCTTTAAATAACCAATTGCACAAATAATCGACAGAACGAACGGACGGACGGACAGACAGACGGATGGATGCATCCAATGTTAAATGTTGGAAATCCGAATTTGCTTCAAAATACTATATTTAATATAATTATGTCGGTTTTCCAATTTAACGATATGATATTATCTAAAAATAACGGTTATACATAAAATAACGAGCATCTTTTATACGTATATCGTAAAAATGTTTAATTAAGTAATTTTAAGACGTCTGAAACTTTCAGTATAATCGACATTTTCTATTTTTGTAACATTTCAACGCAGGGTGTACGCAGTGTCCAGACTCCAAATCGCATTCAACTGATACTGATGTTTTTTTTTGCACAAATAAATATATTCTGATTTTTTTACATGACTCATTTTGTTCATAATACCGGTTGATAAAGTGTTCGCGGTATTGGTATTTGCGCATCGTATGACCCTTTGAAACAGTTGAAGGGCGAATAGAAAGTGAAATTTGCAGGATTGTACTTTTTAATGCTTTTTGTCCAATTACGTGATCGTTGATCAATATACTTAAGAAATAATATCGGTCTTAGCGGTGTTTATCGGCTATTTAACACCGGTTTGGAGTTTTGATGCGTATGAATTGACCACGAAGGCCGTAGGCCTGAGTGGTTTATTTCTTCGCATCAAAACTAAGGCTGGTATTATTTCGATTCTAACACGATAAAATAAAGAAGATCACTAATGTTCTTTTATCAAGCGGAATAACTTCCGGTGCCGAATTTCGTATAACGCTGTTCGATTTTCGCACCCTACTGTTGCTAAGATATAGAAATTATTTAACAAAAGAAATAATAATAAGAAAAAAGACGTTATTTTATCAAGTTTTCAAAAACGTCTTAGTATGGTTTTTTAAAATGTTTTAAGTTTTTTTTCCATTTTTCCTTTCTGAACCTCCTGGGCCGAGAAGTTAACGTCGTTGACTTCAAACCCTTTGCCCCTCATCGCTGTGGGTTCCAATACCGACAAGGACTTTGGATTCTTTCATGTGAGAAAGCTATCCAGCTAGCTTTCGAACGTCGGTGGTCCTACTGAATAACGGTTAAAATGTAGACTGATGGTCCTTCGTAAACTTTCGAACTGAATTTCCAATGTCTTTTTTTTCGTTATCATTAATTTTATTTAAATACAGTTAACGCCGATTTATTTTTGTAGATAATATTACTTGAAGGACAAGCAATATCAAGTGACTACATACCAAACTGCAAAGCTCTACAACCACTGAAATATTGCCCACCATATGACAGTTCCGAATGGAAGTTACGGGCATATTGTAAAAACTGTAAAGCTGATCAGAAATACCATTGCTGTAAGGACTATGACTCACCAAAGTTAAATTGTCCACAAGGCGATGTTTACTGCAAAGATGAACTTTACGTCGAAGGATGTGCTGAAGAAAAGTTTTGTAAAAAAGGTAGGAAACAATATCTTATAATGAATCAACAGAGAACCAATATTTTAAAAGTGAAACAGAAACAAAACTTTAACACTATTAGTATTTTGTCCGATTAATAAATGTATTTATACATGTATATAAAACATTCAAACACGCTTCACATTATTCCATCATTGCAAACAGACAGGGCAGCCAAGTGGATTATCAAACGAAAATCTACACGGCAGGGAAAGGAATCTTTTCCTGCCATGTGACGCCTACAAATCAATGACTAAGGAAAATTTACTCTCTCCGCTCTATGTAACTTAACATTTTACTAGCATGATAGTATTGTGTACACTGTTTCGTTCAAATGCTTTGTAATAAATCGCTTTGGTCAACTAATTTACGTTATCAAATTCCTACGCATTAGAATTGGAAACTCGCATTATTCTACAACAACGCACTTAAACTGATATATAATTCCTAAATAGGTAAATTCTTCTATAAAATGACAAAACTTCAAAAATGTTCTGTCGTTAACAGTAAAATATAATAGATATCAATTTTAAAACTGTTTTCATTTTATTTGACGATTATTAATCAATGCGAAGAAAAGATTTTGCCAATTGTTAAGTTTCCGGTATGCATTTTTGTGTATAATCAATAAATAGCGGTATTTATTTAAGAATTATAGCGGAATGAACTTTTTACATCAATAGGTGAAGAACCAGTCTTAAGCTTCATTAAGAATCAAGTTAGAGTTGAGAATCCTGAAGTATTTTGTGTGCTATGTTACAACAACAATCGCTACAATGACTCTAAAAATAAATCATCTGCAACATATTCAGAATGTACACAAAAGAAATTAAACATCTGCACATTTGAAACCCATAAAATAGAGTGTCGAAAAACATCAGGTGAAACTAGTGAACGGTTCTGTAGATGCGATGTGGAAAATGGATATTACCCCAACTCACATCCGGATGATCACCCAGTCGATGGATGCAGTTACAATAATTATATATGCACAACAGGAAGATGTGGACCAAACGAAAGGACTTTATTAAGTATGTTTCAATACGAAAACAAGAGTTAAATTGTTTTTTTTTCTGGGTTTTTTTTTCGGCTTATGTGTTTGGGTGGTCAGGCCCTAACGTAATTTAACCTAGTACGACATTGACGAAGCGTTCAATCGATGTCCTTCCGCTTTGTATGCTAGAGTATTGGTTTATGAAATATATTAATGCAAGGCCAAAAAATGCTCAGATATGATATTAAAACTGAATCACGGGACATAGAAAGAAAGCGCATGTGAAGTATATTATATGGACGACATATAGGCAGAATAAAAACCCTAACCATCAATTTGAATATCTTTTGCTTATTTCAGGTCATTTCGTGGAAGATAAGTTATACATTAGTCCTAAGAAACCATAATTTTACTTTTAGTTTGTTAATCAAAACTGTCATGAAAGTTCATTTGTTCCTTCCAATGAAAAAAAAAAATTAAAAAATAATACCATTTTTAAAGTTTACGTAATCACTGAAAAAAGAAATAAACCACTAAATTAGCAGAATTGATAAGGTTGAATTACCTCCTATTGAAATTAGCAGAAATTTTGTCTTTAAGTTGATTGGCGTGTTGATTGATGTAGGAATAAAATTTTCTAAGAGTAAACATGTTTATATTTTCTCGTGATACAGGCGAATCACTTTGTTTTTATTTATTATCGACGTTACACATAGACTTATAAACGCAAAATATATCGTTAATTGAAACTAGCGGTTAGCCTTGCTTAGAGGTTACAAAGTAATCCAAAGAAAAAACGTATTTACAGGTAAAATATCATAAATTTTCATACATTTTCATCTTATGATTAATATCAAAATGTTTACACGTGCTTAATTTACGATTTTCTTCGTATTATCGAAAGAATATGTTTCGATTCACATGTATATTGTCATCTGTTTCTAATACCTAAAACAATTAGAGTTGAGAATGCTATATTCGGCATATCTAAATATCAACTGCATTGTCATATACGCAGCACTTAACGTCCTTTGTTCGATAGCTCGGCGTATGCATAGTTTGTTGACGTTTCTGTCAATTTAAATTCACTAGTACATTTTTATCTTAAACAATCAAAAGTTAAATGAATATTATGCATCAGAAATGTTTTTTTTTTCAAGTAGAGGCATGTTTAATAATGTTTAAATAATGGATTTAAAACATGTTAGTTGCTTATCTCTGGTAGAAAGCATCCATGTATGTGTAATTATTTATTACAGAGGTAGCAAAATGTCAAAAAGTGGTATTTTGACTCCGTACAAAATACTTGATAACTATAACTTTACTTATTGCCAAACAACAGAAGAAGGAAAATATGGTTCAGCCTTATGATCTATGAGGGTTTTTCTCGGAAAATATAACAGGATACCAAAAAATAAAAAAATAAAACCTTTGAGAAATAAAACAATAGCATTAGATGCCTAATGGGCCTTTAAATATAGTATCATTTTATTTATTTGTGTGATACAAATAATTAGCACTAGCAAAAATACACAGTTAAATTATTTTGAATTCGTGCAGGCTCTACAAATATAGGTTCTGTGCGCCCTTTTCCATAAAAAGAAACGACAAAATCTATTTAAACGTAAATATAAAGCGCATAACTGAAACCTATGGCAGATTTATAGTTCATTGAACATGTTGAATTTTTATAATGCAAATACGATGAACGAGCATTAGATCCGGTATAAGTAATGACCCACATAGATTAATAAACCCTGGTCAATATTCTATAAAAACTGTAAAAATTGATTTGATTTTAAGTGATTTTTTTATGTTTATGTTTCCTTCAATTGTACATTATTTTCTCGTATTTTATGAAAGGGGTTACCTATCTGTTAACAAATGACTTTACTTAAAGGATGTCACGAGGGTCATGACACTTTAAACTTTAACAACTTAAATGTATGTAACTACTCGTATCAACAAATAAATGTCATTGCATATCATTTTTATTTCAAGATTACACGTGTGAATGTGAAGATGGATTTTACAAACACAACAACTCAATGCCAAAGTGTGTTCCTCTCCAAACTAAGTAAGCATCAATTTTTGTGTTCCTTTCCATACCAAGTACTCGTAAGTGTCAATTTTGTGTTCTTCTCCATACCAAATAAGTTTAAATTTTGTGTTCCACTTTAAACCAAATAAGAGTCAATTTTGTGTTCCTCTCCATTTAAAGTAATTATCAATTTTATGTTCTTCTCCATACCAGGTTGGCATCAATTTTGTGTTTCTCCCCGTTCCAAGTATGTGTCAATTTTGTGTTCCTCTCTATACCAGGTTTCAATTTTGTGTTCCTCTCAATACCAAGTAATTTTCACATTTGTTTTCTTATCCATACCAAGTTGTGTTCCAGCCCGTTCCAAGTATGTCTCAATTTTGTGTACCTTTCCGTACAAGGTTAGTATCGATGTCATTGAATTAAACGTACTCACAAATAAATTTCCGTAGATTTCAAATGAATGAAAACTTCAATCGAACTTGTCAACTGCAGGATTTCACTTGTGTTCTAACACATCTGTTGAATATATTACTCAGTCAAATTTCATTTCCATGCGTATCATATTCAGTGCCTACTTATAATACTTAATAGTAGAATTCTAAGATTAAAGTTAATTAAAGTTCTCAAGTAACTCAAGACATATACTGACGGTGGGGTTTACACAGTCCAACACTCTTCAATCCGTCAGTGTGTCTTTTGTGTCAGCTCTTGATATCCGTGAAATCGTCTTTCTTATATAAACATGGACTTGATACCGCCGCTTGGTGGAGACTGCTAATTTGTATGGTATATGTGTTTAAACATAGTTTATATGAATTGAAACGACTAAATGACAATTTATTATTAGTGTCAATATTTTGAATGACAATAAAATGTAAACAAATTTATACGATGAATTAAACATGTTTGGCATTGCACAAGTTGAAGGTCACCTGCGCCCGCTTATTGTTATGTGATTTTACTTCCACGAGTATTGAAGGTTCTTCTATTTAGCCATAAACTTCGAAAATCATCACAGATTGCCAATGTTCATTTTTCAAACACTTGTATCCCTCGATATCATTATTGGTCTTACAGTTCGTCACATATACTAGCTTTGTTTATTTCACCCTAGCTTTTGGTAAAACTGTAGCAATCTGTCACGATGATAGATTCGTCTCCTTTTTAAATTAAAGCTTTTATTGATTTTCAATTTTTATTTAATATTTACAGAGCAATAACTGTGTTCCCACAATTCTTGACAACCAGCAAAGATAACACGACATCTTCGGGCATAAGCAGTATTTTTAAATTTATCTTTTTGATAAAATTTGTATTTTTTAATAAAAATCAAATAATACCATATACATATTTTTAATTCTTATTTGTCTAAATTGGTTTCTTATATATTTCATTCTTTATAAACAGTGCAATATGATGCAACATTGTATCACTCTCTGATTAGCCAAGTACATGATTATGTAATTAAAATTTTTCAATGTCCTTATTTGATAATAATATTTTGTTTTGTTTTCTTCATTGACAATTCGGAATTCGTTTATAGCTGCAACTATTATAGTATGTGCCATTGCCATTCCATGTGCTTTTGTCATTCCGTTTGTCATTTTAAGAAGTAAGTATTTACATATTTTTTTTACATTTCAACTGAAGCTTGCGTTAGTGATTTAATTAGTTTTGTTCATAAATTGATCTTATATAAATTATTTGAAAGTGTAATAGTTAAGGAATCATACGATATAAATCAAGGTAGAGTAACTTTTACGCCAATGCCATCATCTCAACACAGGTTTCCTAATGCATAAAAAAATGGTTTGCGCCCATTTTTAGAGAATTGCAATTTTAAAATCAATAGAAAAAAGAAAAGAAAGTGCCTGACCAAGATTCGAACCAATGAGTTTAGGTCCATATTCTTCAAGTGAAAGACATATACCGACTGAGCTAAGGGGGATTTTTTATTTTTGTCATTTAACAATTGGTTTCGAACATTCATTTACATGTAAATCGTGATGTTTACGGAATTTACCGATTATTAGGTCAAATGCAAAAGTGCCAGGTCAATATTGTTGAACTATAAGACTTAACTTTAGTGATCTTTAAAAAATCTTTCTTATAATAATACAATTATTGCTATCGTCTCGGTCAATATGCTATATTATGTCATATTCAATGGCTCACCAGTTAAGACATGTAATTGTATAATATTTACCCAAGTGCATCATTGGGCGGGACGTTCATATTTTCTATATAAGTCTACATTTACCTAAGTCTTTTATTTTTTATAATGTCTTCCGAGTTATTACAAAATATGATTTTCAAATTTATTGTTACCATTGCTTAGCAACAAGATATACATGTTGATGTACATGTCAACCACTTTCATACTACGAAAATCTTTTTCGTACATGTCATGAAGTTACATTATTACGTATTTGAATAATTAATCATGACACACATTTACTATACTAGACGCCTTAAATTCATTATATTGTTATGGGTTTTACTTAACAGAAATACGAGGAAAGAGAAATAAAGATCTAACACATACCAAACCAAAAGTTAGTCGTGTAAGTTCGTTCGTATTTATATTCCGAAAAGACAATCGGGGGAGTTTTGTTAGTGGGGGTGGGGGAACCAGTCACGATGGCTTTATCCAAATTATCAGTTTACTAAAGATAATGCTAAGTCGTCACAATATGAATTTTCAACTTATGGTGTTGCAAAGCTTGAGCAGCTAATCCCACCTGCAAGTATTACCTTTTTGAATTATAAAATTTGCATCAACTATTCTATGCACTAAAGGTTATTTCGCCAATCTGTGATACATGTAGTCATTTTTTTCTGCGATTTTCAGATTTCCATTTTTGTTTCAAATATATTCTAACATGAATGCTAGTTTATGTATATATTTGTCAGTAAAATGTGTTTGAACCTGAAAACTGATTACGAATAACCGGAATGTCTAAGTTAACATTGAAAGTTTCTGTATTTTTGTTACTGTCGTTGTTTTTCAATGTTTTCATTTCCGTTCAGTTAAAAGAATGATGCAGATTGTTTAGACTTATTATATTGACATTTACATTATAATGACAGCAAGCAAAACAGAAAGAAAGAAATATAAATCAAACAGAAGAGTTAATGGAAGAATTATTAGGTGATGAAAAAAGAGGTACGATGCTCATTATCTGCCTGCCTGCCTACCCTACCCTACCCTTCCTACCTGTCTGACCGCATTCAGTGAACGCATATTACATTTCATTTATAAAATTAACATTTATTTCATTTATTGATTTAAGTATAAATAGTCAAAATCCGAAATCATAGTTTTCTGTGCATATTTTTAGAGGCGATAAATTCAAAGCATATGTTTTTTTTATTGTTTTCTTTTATTATTTTCTTTTTATTATTTTTTTTCTTATGTTATAACAATTTTTAGAAGATGAAGCCACAAACCACCTCATTAACTGAAGACTAGTATAGTTAATATAATGTATATACAGTAAAGCTCATTCGGGATTTTTATAAATCATAATAAAAGTAATTGTATTGATGACTTTTCAGAGTTTGTTAAAGAAGTGACACAGCATCGTATCGTACACCTACGAGATAATTTAGATCCTATCCCAATAATAGATAAATTATTCCAAAGGCAATTGATATCAAAATATGATTATGATAGTATGATGGTAAGTTTATAGCTTCAAACAAACAAAGAAATACAAGTAGTTTTTCTTCTTTAATTTTCCTCATGAATAAGTGCAAAAAAAGCGTTACAGTTGACCATTATTACATTTTTACAAATACTGTGTATGTTTAACATTCAATGGCTACTGTTTCATGCGATACTTAACACTTAACAACGATTTTTGTTTGAAAAGCACTGAAAACATCGCTGTATAACCAACGTTTGCTAAAATGTAACAATTTTAGTATGTCTTAAACATATTGCTTTCCAAGTACTGAAACAAACAGAGGATGTTCACGTTTTTCTATAAATACAGGATTTATTTTCATCGAGTGAAAGATAATGTTTTACAGTCAAATTACGGAAAATGAAAATACGCATTTTATTTTATCAATATTTGTAAATGTTTATAACTTCCTTGATTATTCTTAATATTCTAAATATTTTCAACATCTTTTACATTATATTAAGAATAATAATAATATGTTTACAAGAGTAAAACAATTTAATACTTGAAAAAGCATCATTACTTCCGATTTGATACTTATTGTCTTCGCTTCAATTTGGAGAATAAAATTATTAAAACGCAATGTAAATTGTTTTGATGTTAAAAAAATATTTGTTAAATAACAACACAACAAACACACCAAAAAATGCTCGTATTCGTACAACTGACATCGGGTTTCAAAGTTGCATTCATTGTGTTTATCTTTTTATACAAAATCGTTTGTTCTTTCCCTTTTTTTTATTTAAGAGCAAACCAAATAAACCAGAACAGAATCGAGCAATTTTAGACAAGGTTATGACTCGGGGAGAAGACTTTTACAAATCATTTATTACGGAAGTGTTTAATTTGAAACAGTTCGATTGTTTCGATGCACTACAAGAAGAGGAACGTCTAGTACATAAAAGTATTATCAATAAAAGAGAAAACATTGTCAACGTCAACGTAGAAATCCATGAATCAGAGACACCGTTATTGGTAAGTTGGAACTTGTTGTAAAATGAAATCGAATATTGATTTAAAACATTGGATGTCAGACTGCATGCGCATATAAAGGGAATTTTAGCTAGATTAAAAAAGTTAATGTTTATATCAAAAAAGATAATGAGCAGTATATAGTTATCAATATTTCATGACATAATCTAAAAACACTTTATCAAGATACAAAAACATTTTAATAATACAATTCCGCATCATAAAATAAGCTACATTTATTCTTTAATACTCGGTTCAAACAAAATCTTTTCTAAAGTACAAATCCAGTTGCTCGAAAAAGCACAGTAATTGCTATGATTCTATTGAATTCTTTTTTGTAATGATTAGTTACAGTATCATAGCTGAGTGTCTGAATTTAATAAACTCTAATTAAAGCAAAATGAATCATAAGCGATATTGTATCCGTAAAATATAGCGCTGTATGTTTATGTAAGAAATAACCTGATTTATTACTGATAATCTTTTTATTGAGCAGGAAATGCAACAAGAAGAAAGTCACGCAGAAACAGAAACAACTATTTAATATACTCACAAAAAGGAACATTTTCGTGTATCTGGAAATATTTTAAACATGTTTTTTTTCTTGTGAAAAAGTTTTATGCAATAATACTTATAACTATCTTTTAAAAAGAGCTATCGACTTATTTTAGAGAAATGTTTGATACGTCATATGAAAAGTAAAGGATTTGTTATAATTGCTACATGTCTTTGAGAACGTTTGGTATCCGGTTGGTTAATCTGCTACGTTCAAATTCTGATTTAACGATCATTCTCAGCAAAATGAAGCATTTAAGGCGGGGAAACATTGAAAATCTTATGTATCTTGTATAATAGTATATGATATGTTGCAAGTTATCAAGTAATATTTTCAGCAAATAATTATAAATAACAATACATTAAACATTTGTAAAATCTGACTAATATATCTTTCATTATTTACATTTTTTAAAAAACACATTTAATTCTAAGAATAATGACGTCATATGACGCTTACAAAATGTGAAGGATAACACTCGTGGTACAACTAGGCCTCATCTAAAACCCTTATTGTTTATTTGATAACATTTTGTTCAAATTGATAGTATATCAAGTGATATATGGACAAGATAATGACTTAATGAAGAGTGATTTACCATCTTAAATTGTTTCATTTATTGTTCTCATTATCATCTGTGTTCATCTTATATCATATGATTTATTTCTGAACAAAAATGATGTGATGTTTGAAAAGATTATTATTATTATTATTATTATATACCACATTTCTATAGCACTCTTTTCATAAATAATAAATGTTCAAGAGTGCTTTACATAAATCCGATAAAACATAATCATATATATATATATAAAGACATAATGTACAACATTAATTAAGTAAACCTATTAAACAATAATGATAATCTAAAACCAGTAAAGGATGGTAAGAAATACAGACACATTTAGTTTAAAATCAAGGCACAATTAAAATTAACACTGATAATATAGCAAAAGTAGTACATGTATGATGATTTATGAACTAACGTCCATAGAACTTTATGAAATAATGTGTTTTGAGAGCTCTCTTAAAACATGGCAAGGTATTACAGTCTCTAACGTCAGGTGGTAACGCGTTCCATAATTTCGCTGCGGCTGTCTGGAAGCACCTGTCACCATATCGTACTGTCCGAGATTTAGGCACAACTAATGTCATTGAGTTATTCTGGGACCTCAGATTTCTGACTGGGATGTACACGTCTATCATGTCTTTTATATAGGCTGGTGATTGATCGATGAGGGATTTATATGTATAAGTCAAAATTTTATGTTCGACTATATCTACTATAACAGATATGTTACCTGTAAAATAACATATTGTTTGTCATTTCAACCAATTCAAAGCAAAGTAGTGTGTTAATAGTAAAAATTAAAAAAAAATGAATATGTTCATTAATTATAGTACATATCTGAAACTGATGCCGAAATCAATCACTTAGACAGTAATTGAAACATAACAAGAGTATATTGGAAAAAAAGAGTAGATTGATAGACTTATTAAAGATCAGTAATTACAGGGTTTAACTTTTTAAGTAATCAAAAATGTACAATAATGTTGATCGACATGGCTTTGTTTATGATAATTTATTTCGTGTGTACGTATGTGTGTGTGTGTGTGTGTGCGCGCGCGCGCGAGCGCGCCTGCGTGCGTGTTTGTATGTGACATGCTGACTTGTTAATCCATACGATTATTTGAAAATAAATAATATACTTTAAATACTTTAATAAAGTTTCATTAGATCATGTAATTTTAATATGTGAATGAATATAATAAAAAGTCTCCGAATGATCAAAATTTATTTTTGTTTGTTGGCACTTTTATCTATAGATTCCAAAATAACTTTATAAAATGATACAAATGTGAGAACTTATATTTAATACAAATGTGAGAACTTATATTTAATAATACAACAAAATTAATATTGCTATTTTTTCTAAAGGTAGACAAACACAATTTACATTTCAAGGTGAAGTAACAATCAATTACAAATATTTGAGTATTTAATTAAGAAGTGGTTCTTCTTTAAATGAAAAACGTGCTACAGCATATCAAGCTACACGAGCAATGTACTCTCTCACAAAGAAAACAAGCGATTTATGAATTCAAAAAAATTTGCAAATAAAAGTTTTCATGACAACTGTTAACCCTTTCCTTCATGAGCATATTGTGAATGTTTTCATTGAAAAGCTTCCTGTTACCAGTTCAAAATGCTATGAAGCTATGAAAAATGCTTCAATGCTAATCAAACTTTGCACAAATGTTGACTGGACAATTGCCTTTGTAACGACATGCTCAGTCTTAAATTTCCTGTTACCATTGATTTCAAATTGATTTCAAAGTGTTGCAATAAGATAGAGTCAAATGCTTTTCAGCGTTGGTTACACATTACCTTATGATCAACCTGTGGTCATCTTTATTAGCCTCGCACAAGTCTAAAAGGCACATCCCTTTCTGGCAACCCCCTGATGTACCTTTCTGATAGGGGGTGGCGCCGAAAAAGTGATCACTTTTTAGGAACATTTCCCAAACAAAACAGTGTTTGGGGCAAAAATAGGGTAATTTTTAACTGTTTGAGGCCTCAAAATGAGGCGGGGGGGGGTCGAAAAGCCGTCAAAACATGTCTATATGAAGTAAAGGGTTAGCAAAAAATGATGGAAAACCTTGGAATTACCAACAAACTAGTAAGCATGTGGCCTTTCACCTAATTTTGGTGAAAAATTGTTTTGTAGCATTTTTTTTTAATTAAGCCAATTTTATTATACGGATGAAAATATGATCTGACTAGTGCAATTAACATTTCTGAAATTTGTTTTAATAAAATCGTCAAACAAGCAGACATAAATACATTATCCATCCATCCATCCATCTGTTTTTTTTGTGTGTCAAATTTGATTAACCTCAACTGCATTGTATTTTAAATCACTAAGTCAATATAAAATTTCGTGTTTTTTTTTTCAAATTCCATACAAAAGAACACATTTCTGTGGTTAACAAATATTAGAAATAACATATAAATTTCATGTGTTTAAATGGTATAATGGCTTTAGTCTGAAATTTCAATTTTTTAAAAATAATAACAGTAAACTCATTTAAATCAATGTCATGTTAACCCTAGAGTAAATATATCCGGAAAAGTTTTTCATTATTATTTTTTCAAAAGGTCAATAATATGGTTGAAATGTCAAAATTATATTTTTCCGTTGACTTATGTTGGAACCTAACATAACGTCCATTTCAAAATGGCGGTGACCATACTGACGTCATTTAGGGTTCGTCTCACAAATAATGTCAGTTATTATATAACTATTGCTTTTATTTAATAACTGATAAACATTTCAAAAGTTAAATGAGGAATATGAACAAAATTGATCTAAAAAAGGCAATTTCACTAGCAAAGAATTGCGTATAAAAATAACAGTAGCCAATTAAAACCATTTAGAGTGAAACACCATTTTATTTTAACGGCAGATATATATAATTATATTGATATTCTTTCGTGATGTTATATTCATTTCTAATGAGAAAATTAACTTATCTCTTACCACAACGCGGCGTAACTAGAAGACTCAAACGACCTCCGTTCACAATCATATAAAAAACATATATTTGAATGCAACATACACAACGAAGTAATATTTAGCGGTCTACGGACAAGGGGAGCGGTGGCCTAGTGGTTAAGGTGTCTGCCTCTCAACCCAGAGATCATGGGTTCGAGCCCTACTCGGGTCACGACCATGTTTCTTCATATGACACAAGTACTGGTTGGTTCCAGGAAGCGGACTCGAAAGTGATTAATTTAAGTTGCAAGAACTTGTTTATCAATCGAGCTAGAATAAATATGTTTAAACCAAACGGACATGCTTATTTGAATATACAAAAATGCACGTTATTTGCTAATGTTTAATTTACAAAACATATGTCTATTGATGTCTGAATTGCGTACATTTATATATAAAGTCCATTCAATTATATCTGAAATGCTCAGCTCCGAGAGGATACAATAAAATTACCTGCCCTATTTTAGGCGCGTTAAACTGCTTTTCAAAAAACAAAAACTGACGCAAAAATCGTACACAAATAAGAAATAATCATTCATATTTGGCAAGAAAGACGAAAGCGGTGAACGGGTTCAATATATTTTCAGTACTGGTTTACCTATATTCATTATGTCTGTTTTAACTAACTCCCTAGCAAATGAGAGGACATAGATCCGTGTACGAAAAATGTACATAAATATACACTTGAAATCCGTAAATGTAGGGCCAAACGAATCGTTTTACATTTTGAATAACAAAAGGTCTAGAGAGGTCGTGTGGACATTTTAAAGATCATCCGAAGATCAATTGCATGTTAAATACCGTCTGTGATTTGATAATATTTTGATTTGGCAGAGTTAGTTGAGTATAAATTGGTAAGATCAATGAGTTAACTTCCGTGGAGTATTTGATCATTTTACCGTCAAAGGTCCATATGACCGAAACTGTAGGGGGTTGGTAGGACAAAGCATGGTCGTGGCAACTGAAACAGTCTTATGATTTTGCCCAGACATGCTATTGCATTGTATCTTAAATGTTAGACCAACATGCTTTTATTGAACATCAGGGGTTATTGCGTCGACATATTTGTGCAAGAAAAAAATCACACTGTTAAAATCTATGAAAATGATAGAGGAATGCAGTTGAGAGGACGTCAGGCCGTTTTAAATCAGCCTTTATCAATTCACTTATTCATAGAAATATCATTTTAAAATGGAATTAAAAAAAAACAGACATAAAATTGTCTAACAAAAAGCACGCACGCAAGCACGCACGCACGCACGCACATACACACACACACGTTGACGCGCGCACACGCACACATACACACACACACACACACACACGCAAACACACACACACACACACTCACAGAGGTGAAACGTTATATTCCACCGCATCGCAGATGCTGCGGTGACATGAAAAGTCTATAATACATCGTTTAACTAACCGTATTAACGGAGGAAATCTTTTTACTTTTCCCTTTTTTTTTTGGCGTAATTTGATACTAAAAATCAAACCTCATTATTACTCCTCACTTTTTCGTAATGTTAATTTCTCAAAGGCCTCTGGGAGTTATTCTTACTGTTAATGCAAGTGTACCACGTAACTAAGAATTTTTTACTGTTACAAAGGTAACAGTATATAAATAACACATGGGTTTTAGGGTAACAGTAAAAACATCATCTGGGAGTTATTTTTACTGTTAATGAAAGTGTACCACGTGACTAAGAATTTTGTACTGTTACATAGGTAACAGAATTTTTCAACAGTATAAAATCTGGTCACGTGGTCTATTTTCTAAATAAAATGAAATAAAAAGGCCGCCATTTTTTTCTCGATTCATTCTTATTTTCGACGTTAAACCCCGATAGGACATCAATTTCTTCTCTGGAGTAACTATGACTCTCATAAAATTTAGTTGTTCGCACCCTGGTGTGCTTTTCGCGTATAAAATATTTTTTTGTTGAATAGTAAAAAATTGAACATCCGTTTTCAACGGAAATAATTGCAATTTAAATAATTAATGTGTCAACTGGAACATGCAGACGATTTAAGCATGCAACAAAGGATTATTTAACAATTGTAATCAGTAGTTGTTGGAAACGTTATAGATTATGGTGGACAGACATAGGATATCAGTCGTTATTTTGTCAAAACCATGC